ACCCAAGACGTCAGTGGGAGCGGGCTTGGCAGGCAACAGAAGCGGACGATTACTTACTCGGGATCCGATAGCGCGGTAGGCTGGGCGTGTACGAGCGCCTCGAGCGAGCTCGCAGGCGTGGGGGCGCGTCCCCGCATGTCCTGGGTTGCAGCGACGTCGGGGGAGCTGAAGAGGAGGAGGGAGAGGAGGACTAGGTAAGTGCGGAGGAAAAGAAAAGGACGTGCGAAGGGGAAAGGGGGAAATCGAACTGAGCAAAACGGACCCCCGCTCTATCCAAATCCAAACTACCCACCCAAAACGCAATCCTATAACACGCAACCGAATCCGAGAATATCTAATTTCGACACCAGCATGCACCGAGAACCTAAACAGAATTAGATGATGCGAAGGCGTCCGATAGATGGATTAGACGGATGGATGGTTGCTGCTGCCATCCCCGCTGTCCACGCCCATGGTAATAAGTATCAGGCAAATACCAGGATAATAATAACCCTCCATCACCCATGCCAAAGAGTCTCCATGCGTATCCCATGGTTTATTAACAGCCAGGGCAGAAAAGACAAAAATAGAACACAACCGATGAATGGCAAGCTGCGATGGAGTGGATGGGCTGCGGGTAATGGGCAGGGTAGGGAACATATTTAGTTCTGATCATTAGCGTTGGAATGTCCTCGTGTGTCAGAAATAGAACATAATGTCACCGGGGACTAATATAGAGCACGAAAACCCATTACTCGACCCTTGGGTTATAAAAAACATCATCGATGATCCCAGAAAGTATCAAGAACCCCGGGGAAAGGCGAACGGCGACCTTTAGTACAAGTGTTCATTTATCCTGCTCATCCGCCCTTCAGACTTCCAGCGACACGGAGTAGGACGCGGGGCCGCCTTCGATTTAAAGAACTCAAATTCGAATGCAGCACGCATCGAAATCAAATACGAACTACAAGCTCGAGGTGCGCTCCAGCAGTAGTAATGGAGCTGCTAAGTATAGTCCATTGAACGGGGGACGAAGTTTTTATGGAAGACGTCGAAAATTGACTTAGCGTAATGCAGATCCCGGTTATCGGGCCCTTCTCCGTCGTACCCTCCAATTACCTGTTTACCTCAAACGCTCACAACCACGCTTCATCGCCGAATACCCCACCACCAGTGTTTCATCCATCTTCCTCAGACACACCCGCCACACTGTCTGTTATTAACTCCACCAAATCCAGCAGGCCTCCCATGCCCACTACCAACACCGTCCAAACTTGATATAGACGACGTTCTCATTCTCAGGCCTGCCATGAGACGACTTCCATGCCTCTCTCTCCAATTCATTTCATCATACACGCTCTTTGACGACATACACACCCAATGTCGTTGAGGGGATTTCGGAACCGTTCCTGAAGGCTTATGACATTACCATGGGCTATGACCTATACCCAGGTACCAGGATTCCAGGACTCCAAGATTACTCGTCGCGTAAAAATAGTGTCAGGTAACTTCAAATCCAGGCGCGTTCGGGTTCGGACCGAAATCATAACTCGTCATCAAGCTCTCGTCATCCAGAATAACTTTGAGCTAGAGGAGCAGGAGCTTGCTGGGGCGAACGCGTCGAGCAAAGAAAGGAGTGGGGAGATGGTGGATGTACAGAAGCAAGAGGTTAAAAGGCTATTTGGTCTTGGCTGAATGCTTAATGCAAGTGCCCAGCAATTGATTATGAAGTTGCTTCTAAGGTCAGCTTGGCACGTCTGTTGATTAGCTGGTGTTGATGCGTGTCTGTTCACGCGTTCACGATTGCGATGATAGAGCATACTGTAAGTCCTGCGTTAACGGCTCCCGAGTGATGCGCAGAAGCAACATGGATTATCGTTGACCTAGAGTTGTGCGCAGAGGAGGGAGGAGGAAGGAGGAGAGTATTGTATGAATCCCTAGCGAACCCAACCGAATTAAACATGTTCTAAAATAAGAGCCGAGTTAAACAGTGAAAGTAACAATAATGCAATTGCGAGCCAAATGTATAGGTATACGCAATCTAACAAGTAATGTACCCCCTTAGCAAGCGTGTATAACATTAGAAAGCCAATGAAGTAACCTGAGAATTTCAGTCATAGTACGTACAGCAAGTACATACACACTTTCATATCACATCTTCGAATTCGTTATCGTTCGTTCGTTCCACCCTCTATATCACCCTCCACACCCGCACCTCTGATGGTTACGCTTGACCACCCTTGGCACCAGCTTCGACTTCGCGCTTGACTGGCTCAGAGACCTCTAACTCTGCACCAAGTCTTCGTCCAACCTTCTGCAACACGTCCACCACCCCATCCTCCCCATCTCCCTCCTCTTCTACACCCACATCGACATCCTGCGTCACCCCACCCCACCGTTCGCGGATCATACTCTATGAGCTTTATCGAGCACCTAAGAGCTCTTTTCCACCCTCCTCCATACCCCCTCCTTATCTTTTTTCCTGACCGTAAAGCACGCAATGCCCAAATGTTCCGTAATATCCCTAATCACCAAGGTACAGAACCGGGCGTATGTGACGAATGAGATAATGAGGGTAATCCAAACGAAGATAGTAGAATTGCGGGTGGATGTCTGGATGATCGGGGAACTGAACGGGGTTGAAGAATCAGCTCATGAATGACGCCAAAAGAGAAGAAAATAGATAACGCACCGTCCCAAAAGATGCGGCAGATTCGCATCCACGGCACCAATAAAACTCCATACCCAGACCCAATCACCCATCGGGAACGGCCCTTTCGTAACATGCGCCAAAATCATCCTGCCTACCATATGGGCAAACTGCAGCCCCCATGCACACAAGAACGGCACGAATGCCGCGCTGTGTAGGATCCTACTATGATTCCATTCGGGTTGGGAGAGCCAGGCGACTTGAAGCAATGCCGATGCCAGGAAGGGGAGGAGGTAGAGGAGGGGCTTTTGTGTCTTGGGAAGCGCACGGCGGACGTTGGAATAAGAGTTGAGGATGTTGAATGCCAGCCCAACAGCGCCGAAGACCATAAATGATTCATTCAGCGGGAGGTTGGGCAGGGAGGAGATGAGTGGGAGGTGCGCAGTGTGGGTGAACGTGAAGATCTTTTGGTCCCAGAAAGACGTGCCTGCAGAGAATGTCAATATCATAACCAAAACGAAAAAGTAGGGGGAAAGGAGACATACCGTATGCGCCAGTGATAGCGTAGATGATCACGATCATGATGATCCCCTCCACTGGTCCGGAGAAGTATCCGAGGAAGAGTTGGCCAGTGTGGTATTCCTCCCAAGTGGTGAGGTAGAAGTTGGCGAGCGTCGCAATCTGCGAGGAGACAGTCCACCACGAGCGACCGAGGCCCAGGGCGCGGCATGCAAGGATAGCTTCGAGTGTGGTGTTCAGCGCATCGCAGCCGTGGTCAAACATCTCTCCAAGAGGCCCAGCCATGCCTGTGCGGCGCGCCTGTTTCCTATGAAATTATCCTCATCAGCCAACTGAATCAAAGAAGGAAAGATAAATAAAACCATACCCATCAATGGCATCGAGGCTCTGATACAAGAACAAGCCAAATGCCCACGAGAAATACACCCAGTTCGGCGGGCCCGTCGCGCCTTCTTTTTCTGCCAGATACAGGGGGTCATAATACAACAACGTGTAGAAGTTGAGGAAGACGATGGAGAGTCCTGTGAGCGTTATCTACAAGTAATTGTTAGTACAGACCACTTGCGAAATAAAGGCAAAGTACCGTGTTCGGAGCGACGTTCAGTGGCCATAGCGTGACGAACCAGTTCCAGAATGGGTTGAGGACGTATCGTGATAGTAGGGATCTGCAGAAAGGATTGGTTAGCTGCTGCTGCGTGAGAGATTAGGTGTTGGGATCATGAAGAGCGAGACTGATAGACGCATGCTAATCGGGATACCGCATAGTACAATCTTTGGAAAAATTCCACTAGATGTGCATATCGCAACTTCTAATTTCTGAACGCGACAGAGTCGTACCCAATCGCAAGAATACACTGGATGAGTGATGTTCCCAACATTGTGTAGGTTGAAATGTCTGTCTCTGCCAGTGTATCGTGCGCTTCACTTCATCATTCACAATATTCCTCGAAGGACTGATCTCATCCTTTCGTCCATCGTCCCCTTGCCGCAATAACAGTTTAAACTAGAAGGAATAGCCACTCACTTGTCTACACCCTTGTAAGAGTACTTTTTGAGGTTATCGAGCGAATGCTGGGGTATGTAGCCCATCGTTTAAGATATTTCGAGCCCTTTCCAAATTATATGGTTCTAGTTTTTGTGATTAATTCGTCGTGGCGAAGGTTATGCGAGTCTGAAAACTGTCAAGAGCAGAGCCCAGAGGGGCAAAGGTCGTGAAGAGCGTGCAGGAGGAACGTGGGGGGCGTCGAAGAGATGTCGAACAAAGCCAAGGTTTTCGCTCCGCACGTTCAGCTGTCAGGGACACCGAAAAGTTTACGCACGTGCACGATGTCATTGGTTGGCATCAGATATTTGGTATAAATGCTGTTGACAAATATATATCGGCTATCAGGAGAAAGAAAACCCTTGATCCAGGCAGTTGCTACTAAATATTCATAATGTCTTCAGTATTAAAATCGCGAGCTTGTGCGTGCGTTTTCGTACGAGAGCGTGATCGTGAGCAATCTTGATTATGTTTTGTATGTTCCGAGCAGCAACTTAACAGCATTCTATCTCACTGTGATTTTTACTCTGGTGACGAAAGAAGCGAAAGATACAGTAGAAATGAAGAAAGTGACTCTTGGCGGCATGTCAAATACTACGCTTTTCTCATTTTAAGAACACCGATGAACTTCTATTAAAATGCTCTATTCGTTTCGAGCACTTGAAGAAACTCCCCTACGAGTACCCTATAAGGGAGTTCCCGATCGACGAAGAAATGATTTCAGTCACTCAAACATTGTTTTGTCAGTGAACTACTCATTAAGTGTTCAAGCCCTCTAATGGTAATGTATTACTTTAGCTTTCTTATAACTCCGGTATGGTGTAACGGCTAACATTACCGCCTTTCACTCCGCATGTAAATGAGTGCGCGGTAGCTCGGGGTTCGATTCCCCGTACCGGAATAAATGAAATATTGGGAATATTTTTTTGAAGGCAGTGAGAAGTTTGAGCACTCGGCGTGAATTTTTTGAACCAGCGTCGTCGGGATTGGAGAGGTCAAATGTTCAAATAAGATCGACCACTAGGCACTTGTATCAACGATAGAAGAGAAATATAGGTCAGTCATAAGCCACGAGCTGCAGATGAGAAAACCGCTCGGTCTGCAGCCAGTAGCTCAAGCCTTAACGTAGCATCCTCGATTGATCCTCGAGTAATTTTATATCGCCACCATGTGCAACGGCCGAAGCGCTGATCATGAAAGTGTTCATTTTGTTTAGTTTACGTCTTCATTCAATACACGAATTATTTGAAAGTAGAGACATACCGTTCAATCATAAGAAAGTGTTCGTGACTGCATTCACCTCCAAATCTAAGCGCAGTGCAATCTCAAGAAAGTAAGGTGCACTTTCACAAAAGCTCATTCACCGACTGTTGTTTATTAACTCTCCAGAATAGATTAGATCAACAATACGTCTTTGGACATCCATTGTGTAGATCGTTCAACCATGGTGGCTCGCGAACAGTAGCAAATCAAATGCCCCTCCTCTCGAGTTTCCAAGTCTTAGAGGAGATTTTCCTGAGGATGTTTCAGATGAACGCCCCTTTCAACAGATACATCTAACTTGATTACTGGGTCATCCACAACAACACAGCTTCTCATGTCTGTCGCATCTAGTTGATGTCCTATCTTTTGGCAGCACTTCCCGAACGTGGACTCTGTTAGCTTTTCATACTTAATATATCATGCCTGTCTGCTCATCGTGTCGATCTGATTCAGGCCGGACTTTGATATCGAGTCTTTAGATGAGAAACTGATGATACTACTCGACTCAACATGTCGTCCGCTTTGAAATATTCAAGACGCAGTTCATTACACTGTTTGATAAACATGCAGCTTTATATGCTGCACTTGAGATGGCATTGTCATCTCCAAAGGCCAGAATCAAGGTGTCAGCTTGATTTGAAACTTTCTCTGTTCAAGGATTTTACCCATGCAGATCTTCAAGGAATTTAGATGTTCATATTTCGCACCAAAAATCTCCTACTTCAGTGCTCACTCACAGCATCATTTATATTCAGATCTATTGAGGTGGCCTACGAGCTATAAATAGTCAACAATATTTCTCAGATTGTACGTGCTTTAAAGTGCGTGGAAGGATTAGAGATTATCGCTCACACTGATTACTCAACAATATTCTGTATTTTAATTAGACCTTTAGACTCTTTTTCATAAATAGAATTATAGGTGTACTTGCATCGTGTGTTCTTTCCTTTTTTATTATTATAACAACACGGTGTTGGAATATGGGCGTTAAGATTACGAGCGAGCGTGATTCGGACTCTCCCGCAGTCGTACTTGCATTTTTGTGGCTGCTTAATCATTTTGATATTTATCTAAGTATGCAGATATTTCGTATATAGGAAGAGTACATTCGAATATGTACATTATCTGTTTGCCTCACAAGCTCACCGAGGTCAAACTTTTACTTCGCTTATTTTAACACATGAATATTCTGACCAATTAAATGCAACTTGGAAACACGCGTTGAATACGATATTGACGACTAGTCGTTCCCAAAGTATAAACGGTAACGTGGCTCATGGCACGGATTATTGCGAGCGGCTCTTGATATTGGTTATCCATCTACTTATGTTTTGTTGGAAAAAACATCTTTTCATAACATCCATGCTGCAAAATAACCGGAAGCTGCATGGGTATCGTAGCTTCCGATTCGGGAGTACGTAGCACAGCACGAGTATCCCAAAATAAACCATGATGACGTCTAATTTTATCATTTATCGCCATTCCTGCCACGTCCTACATAGTAAAAAATGACCGACATGTGGTACTAAGACGAAAGGCTCCAATTGAAGCGAAGAGAGAGGACCAAACATCAAAGCACTTGGCCACGGAGCAGAAATGACCCGCGGGGCCGGGTATCGTGACACAAGTGGAAACAGCATGGGTGTAGGTATCCAGGCCGGATCGAGGCAGGTCGATTATGGTTGTGTTTAGGGGATGAAATAGTTCGAAATGTTAGGTACGTAGACAGCGGAGAGGAAGTAGAGAATAGTCAGACATCCACAGTTAACGATCGGTGCGGAGGAGAGGATAGAAAGCGGATTGATGGGGTGGTGCGGAGGACGGCATGTTCCGAAGCAGACGCGGATCCCACCACCAAACTTCCAAACTCCTCCAACCACATTTACCCATCCTTCCATGCACACTCAGGGTTCTAAAATATCGTAGAAAGATCGGGGCGGTCTTTCCCGTCATAACGCACTAAAAATTATGGAGAATGGGCCAGTCAAAGGCAAACAAAAAGGGAAAAAGACGTTTCAGCAATCTTCCGAGTCGAAAAGAGCTCAGAATGCAGTGGCTCGTGCGTCTTTGTAAGCGTGAGAACTTGGGGGAGTTGTTTGGGGGTTTCCAACGCATGTTCAGAGCTCTTTCATTCCTCCGCCCCTTTCTTCCCGCCCACATCCTTCCAGCCTCAAATCCTCAAGAATCTATCAAATACAGCCAGTAGCAGCTCGTAATGGCTCGTACCAAGGTATGTCGCTCTTCATCACCGTCGTCGTCCTCTTTGGCGACCCTCATCGTATCCGAGACGTAAATTGCTTACTCGTCGTTATCATCTAGCAAACCGCCCGCAAGTCCACCGGAGGTTCGTAGTGGCGCACCTCAACACTCCAATTCTGAGTTCAAAACTCATTCTTTCTTTCTCTATCTAGGCAAGGCTCCTCGTAAGCAGCTCGCTACCAAGGCCGCCAGGAAGACTGCCCAGGTACGTCGTTGTCGTCACCCCCTGTTCATGGTCATCGTCGTCTGACAAAGTCGTACGACCCAGACCGCCACTGGTGGTGTCAAGAAGCCCCATCGTTTCCGCCCTGGAACCGTCGCCCTCCGTGAAATTCGTCGCTACCAGAAGTCCACCGAGCTGCTCATCCGCAAGCTCCCCTTCCAGCGTCTCGTTCGTGAGATTGCCCAGGACTTCAAGGTGTGTACCCAGGTCCTACATCCGTGACTCATGTTGACTCACACACCCTCTATAGACGGATCTCCGCTTCCAGTCCTCCGCCGTCATGGCTCTTCAGGAAGCTGCCGAGGCCTACCTTGTCTCCCTCTTCGAAGACACTAACTTGGCTGCCATCCATGCTAAGCGTGTCACCATGTATGTCGACATGCACTGTTCACCCACAATCATTACTAAAGTCTGTTCACAGCCAACCCAAGGATCTCGCGCTGGCCCGCCGTCTCCGTGGCGAGCGCTCCTAAGTGCTATATCCTCTTCGCTTTGATATCTTCGTTACTATCTAGTCTCATTCCTATTCTTTATCTACCGCATGTTTGTATAGGCCGCTCTAGGCAATGCCTGCGCTTTGGTTGCGTCTCGGCAGTCCAAGTCGTGCGCTGGTCTCCCGCCGCTTCTCGTCATGGATAGTCGTGTACCTTGTATGAATTATTATTAAGCCCATGCCGCTCTCGCGTGTTTTTTGTATTTAAGCTAGCCAGCCAGGTGTAGGCACTTATTGTATTGTACATAATACATGGGCATATATCCGGATACCAGTGAATGTAGAGAGTGATAATGGGTCCGCTTGTATGCGCTAAATGTACACAGTGAAACCAACCGCCATTGAGTATATGAAGAAAGACACCGGCATACTCAAGAGCGAGCACTGAGACTGGAGCAGCCCACACTGTAGCCGAAGCAGTGCGATCGGAGTTGGCATAATCGGTGTGCGCAAGCCGAAGTAACCAAATACATGCTTTCTGTTATTATTTTCATATAATGTTTTTCAACATTTCGCTTATAGTTAGTGTTTGGTTGTTCATTCCATCCATACCTTCAATTTCCTAATTGTATCTGATTTCTCAATTCCGTGAACTATTAATGGTACTTGATCATTGAGTGTTTCGCTTTCACGAAATTAACTATATAGATGATTTGTAGATATTGATGATGGAGATCTGGCATTTGCCGAAATATATTGGCAGTTTGACGCGGTCGTGTACCCTCACACCAGCATGTCGATCATACCTCCAGAACCAAGATTGACGCGTTCGAAAACAGCAGCATCCAGCAGCAAAGGAGACATTCAATCTAATAAAAGATGAAGAGAATCGCCAGCTCGTCCACGAACGCGGAATTAGAGGCTCAGGAGAGGCTGGCACCAAAACGCGTTAAAACGCGTGGAAAACTCGCGCTATTGCCATCTTTGCCTTTGGATATTCTTTCTGAAGTAAACCCTTTCATTCTTCTATGTTATCACCTCATTCTCACTCCCCTCGGTAACAAGATCTTTAGTCATCTTCTCCCAACCGATATTCTTAACTTATCAAGGACGACTAAGGATTTTAGACGCGTTTTACTTCATCGCTCTGCAACATCAATATGGAAATCCGCTGTTACGAACGTACCCAACTTCCCAGAGTGCCCCGAGGATATGTCGTTACCAGCGTGGATCAGCTTGGCCTATGACTGCCATTGTCATGTAGGTCCCTCTGGTTTTCCTCACATTCAATTAAACACTGTTCCAGAATTGTTTGACCTCAGGTGTTAGAAACGTTGATTGGATGTTGCGCATCAGGCTATGTGCTAAATGTGCGAAAGTTTGGTATGTATGAGGTGTATCTGAGATTATGCATGTCAACTGAGTATGATTCATTGTCAGCCTTTTGTCTGAGCAGATGTTTGACTCGAAGAGCCAGAAAGAAAGAACCATCCTGCATTGCGTACCGTTTAGTGACTGGAATAAAAGTAAGTCTCATGCCTGCCTTCTATGCTGTGATACTGATCCTACTCTACTCGAAGGTGGTGTTCAGTACTGTATACAGGAATCCGAAGAACTGTTCACCAAGCAACTCTCGAGTCTCAAAAAAGGCCGTACTGCTTTTGTTGAGAACAAACGTGCCGAGATGAAGGCACGTCAAGATGTATGTAAACGCTGTTCATTA